GTATTAAAGTTTAATTAAAATATAACTAAAATAAAAGATAGTAAGAAATTAAATTATGATTGTAAATGTATGATTTCTAATTGCTTTTGAGAAGTAGGTTTAATAGAAAACAAGGGGGCCCAAAGTCAAGTGTTACTTTAATAATTGTTTTTTTCTATAAAACAGATAACTGCAAAACAATTTTCAATTAGAAAATTTAGGACAAATCCAAAAATTTACTGATAGTTAACTTTTGTTCAGCCATTGAAATGTCTGATAAATTTTCAAATCAGATAATTGGGATGATTTTTAACTTCCTGAACTACCTTTGAATTTTTGAATAATGCAGTCATTTAGGTAATGAATTTATGTTCGTAAATGAAAAATTCACATTTTCTTATCTTTAATGTTTCTATTCCGACCATTTGAAAATGTAAGTGCCAGGAACCAATCATTTCAAATTTTTACAGGGCTGTGGTCTTCTTGAGGATCCATAGTGATTAAATTTTTTAGTCAGCATATAGAAGTAAAACAATCACCAATGTGAAATAAGATTTTTTGGAGTTGACTAATTCTATGAATATTTGTATCTTGTCAAATATGTGGTGGAGCAACTTTTCATTTGTCAAGCAAAAACTTTGTAGTAATTACTGCATGATTTATTTATTTTTCTATACTTGAACTAGCATGATTTGGACAAATTAATTCAACCAGTTATTTACCACAGAATTGTTTGCAGTCCTTCATTTAGGACCTTAGAATTTTAAGTGCACAGCTATTGGATCACTTGAAATTAAGCACAATTTATAATGCTATTGGTATTATTATTATTATTATTTAATTTAGCAAACTTCCTGGTATGTACTGGTATAAATCTATGCCTGTTAAATTATTTTAAATTTAGTTACATTTGATGTCATGTGGCTGTATGGCTCATCATGAAATAATGAATTGTTTGATAGGCTTCTATGATTTTTAGGGCCTGGTCTTAGATTCTGCTATTGGTTTTTATTTTTTTTATTTGTACACACCCACCCACACACATATATATTGTGACTAAAAAATTTCAATTGCAGATTTTTTTTTAAATACTGTTCTACCTACCTTCCCTAAATTTTCTTAATATTGTTGCTGAAATTGTAAAAGATTCATGAATAATCGATTTCTTTGTTATTGTTGTATTTTTATGTGAATTGCTTTAAGTATTGCACATGTCTGATAAACATGATTTTTAGGAATTTTTTCCCATTGTAATTACTACAGCAAAAAATTGAATAGGGCAGTTTATTTTACATGATATTAATATTGATGGTATTCAGATATACTTGGTGTTAACAATAGTTTGTTTTCAAAATTCTGATACAAAAGATGTGACATAGAGGAAAATTATGGAACTTTAAATCATTAATTTTGGTTGATTTTGTTCCTTTAAGATGTAAAGTAGTGATATAATAGTGAGTTTTTGAATATTATTGTTATAAATTGTAGAAGCTCCTGGAACTGGGGGTATAAAATTCAATCTTCCAAAACGAAATGTCCAACCTGGAAGTAGTCCCTTAAATGGACCTTGTGCTAACCAAGGTAAAAATCGTGGAAGAGGGAGGGGTGGAGGATCACAACAGACTGATATTTCTGTACCTGGAAATCAAAGGTAAGTTTGCATATGTTCATGTTGTATGGCTTATTAAACTTCTGTCACTACTTAACAAAACATGCAAGTTTAGTTACTGCAAGTCTTTAACTTCTTTTGCATTTCATATATTATTTATTTGTTTTATATAAGCTCCTATACTTTTAGATGCTTTCTACTTTTGTATTTTTATTATAAATAAAGGAGTGATGGATTCCCTTTTATGATTCATCATTTGTGGACATGTGATAATGAAATTGTGACTCGATTAACATTTCCGGTTTTCATGTTTCCATGTTTCTTACTTAATAAATGGAACACCTTTGAAAAAGGACATGTAAACATTGAGCTCAGGGGGGAAAAGGTTGTTTGAACTACAGTTTATCATTTATATATCACTTACATCAGTTGAATTACTTACAAAATCTGTAATGTTTATTACAGTGAGTAGTTGTTGAGGGAGTAGAAGGCTTATTATTGATTTACAAATGGTTAATATTCCACTTTACAAACAATGTGGCTGATGGAGATGTATCAAAAGAAGAAATCTTAAAAATTTTGACTAAAAATTGTTGTTGTTGGTGGTTTTGGGAGCAGAATAAAGCCATATAACATGTAAGGCTATTATATAACATTTTTCCTGTTCAAGTACAGAATAATTAGCCTGATTTCCTCTGAAAACAGGAAATATTAAAGAATTGTGTAGTGTTTTTGATGTTTAAAAATAATATTTTTTAAGTAGATAATTTTTACAAGGTTTGAGTAGTCTGTGAAAATACATTTTAACTTTCCTTTAGCATTACTGCTGAACCAGTTTCTTATGGACATGATTGGCCAGAAAGTCTCAAGTAAGTAAACATAACCATCTGTATAGTCTTGTATCTTTTGTAAAGATTACTTTATTCATAATACAATTGAATAGAAAAATACATGTGTAGATTAATTCTTTTACAATTTCATAACTTTAGAAGTAGTTCTTCATTTATATAGCAGTTTAATTGCATTTTATAAAAGCAATGTGCATATGCTAAATACAGTGATGTGCTTTTACAGGAGTTAGATGTGGCACCATAGGTGACACGTTTAGTACTTATACGTTTCATTCACGGCAAATTTCTGACCATTTAACAGTGTATTGCCACCATGCACTAGAAAATTAAATCATAGTCCTTTCTAAGAAAGAATATTTATATAGCAAGATTAGGAAATAATGCAAAGCCAAAAGACACAGTGGTTAGAAGAAGAAAACCTTCAACATTCTCTGTGGATGCAGAAAAATGCACACAGCAAAAACATTTCAGACAGTAGATAGCTCCATAACCACACCCCAAATCAATCACGGGTAACAACATCATTTCCAAAGATAAGGCTGTAGTTGTGAAAGAGAACTCCTCCAACACAAAAATCCATTAAAGTGAAGTGGATAATAATCAAAAATTTGAAACTGTTTAGAACTCGCACGCTTACAGCGATATATCAAAGTCAATAACTATTGTCATGAGTAAGATAACAGAAGAAACTGGAGTCAACAGCACCCCCAATTGACCACACCTACTGTACTTGATTATTTAAATTATCCAAGTAATCAAAATATTGCCACTAAACTTGCTTACCCTGTCTTTGTTATGGCAAAGCTTTTAAGGCTATCTGCCACTGTCACTTTTTTTTCCTTGCAGATACTGTTGTTTGAGCAACACTGTACTAATCAATTAATTGAATGTAATCGATTGATGGGGGCCATAGATTAATCAGTTAACAAATTCCACTAATCCAACTAATCCAGTTCAAGCTGACTGTAGACAGGACTAACCACTTATATAGCATGATATACAAGCTTTTCAATGAGATCCTTTTTTCAAAGACTGAGACATAAATTCAATATATGTATGTAACTTTTCTGAAGCTGGGAAAAGAACATACTATTCAATAACAGAGATCATGTTAAAACAAAGTTCTGTATTATTTACATAGGAAATTTTAATAAAATGCAAAAAATAACAACACTGTGTTTCTAAAAAAAACAAATGTAACAATATCTACTGTCTTAAGTTTCAATGAGCACTGATCCTGGAGTACTGGATTTCATCTGTCCAATCTATGTTTATGAATTTGTTGAGGTAGATAAATGTGTGTGTGGATACTTAAAAGCTTTGCAGAAGAAAATATTATGCTAATGTGAAGGTGCATAAAAAAATGGACTAGACATAAGTGAAGGAAGATCACAGAATTCCAGTAACTCATTGAAATTCAGGAAAACAGCTTTGAAGTGGATTGACATGTATGTTATTTTATATGCAGTTAAGGCCAGGGACAGAAGAACTTTGGACATCTGTTGTTGTTATTATTATTATTATTTATGTTTAACAGTTGAACAACAGGTAGCAAACTTCTTTACTTGTGTATATTTTTTGTGAGTGGTATGTTATAGATACATAAAATGACAGAAGTATTTTTCATTGACTAGTGATTAACTTGCCAAACTGCAAGGGTCCATGGTTTGCTTCTTGTTGCTGCAAACTTATGCACTGTAGTTTGGGTTCGTGGGTATGTAATAAATGAGTGGTAGTAAAATCCTACTATTTGTTTAGAGTGGCAGTGGGTGTTGTTGACTAACTGCATTTCCACCTGTCTGTCAGCTCAGACTAATGGATGGCTTATACAGATAGTCCTGGTGTAGCTTTGTGTGAATATCTGAAACAAACATAACGTTTTGGAAACAGTTTGTAAACTTTCCCCACCAAACATTTTATAATTTTTTCTGTGATAGGAAATACAAAACTGTGACTAATATACAGGCCTCCTGTGTGTTTAATGTCCAAATTACTACCAGTTGTTGAATTGTATGCTCAGAATTTAACTCGTTGATTCTTTTGTTCATGATTTCTAATCAGATACTTTATCATTTCAAATTAAATCAATAAAATTTTACGGTATTCTTATGAATGATTAAAAGTTTGTGGCTTGTAAGTGTATTTATATGTAAAGCAGATTTTGTTTAATATTTTGTTAGGAAATATGTTAATGAAGCTTTTGAAAAGTGCAAAACTGATATCGATAAAGATCAAGTTGAAATAATATTAAAAGGAAAACTTACTAAAGCCTACAATGATGGAACAATGTGGACTAAAGAGTGGGACAAGGAGGCTTTACCTAGGTTAGTTTTTTGAAAACAAATGTTTATTCTGTTTATGTAAAAAATTCCCAGGATGGCTTAAACATTAGATTAATTATATTGCTTTGTGTCATATCTGTGCCTGTGTGGTTTTGAAACATTATCATTCATTTTTGAAAACATAAAGATTTTTCTACATTTTTTAATTTAATGACAGACAAACCACAACATGCATCAAAAGGAAAAACTTAAAACAACTGAACAGTACAAAGAACTATTTAAGCTATTATTATGCCCATTTTTTAACTTGTATGCAGCCTATTCTTTTAAAATGAACATAATCAAAGTCCATAGTAAAAAAAACTTGTTAAAAAATCATTTCATAAAATGTAACCTTCCTTAACTACTTCCTAACCCTAACTTCCCACACACTTTCTACTACCTATATACAACCTACTGTAAATTATTTGTAACTTAGGAAAACAGAAATCTCAAAAACTTGTACACTTGATGGAAATGTTGCTGTAAGAAAGCTGATAATTTCCTTAATTAATTTGTTATAACAATTTTTACTTTGTTTTCTATCTAAAGAAAATAAAAAAAAATCCAAAAAGAACATAGAGTACAAAAGAAGATTAAACATGAATTTTTGATTTGGGGTTTATTTCTGTGCATTCCAAATAAATTAGTGTTGTAATTATCCTGAATTTTTTGTGATCGTAATATGGCACTTGTAGCCCACTAGTAGGAAATTCAAAATAGTTTTGAACAAAATTATTCAATTTGAGCTTTGTAACTTCAGTACAAGTCTAGTGTTATCTATTTTAACCAATTGCAACTTCTCTAACTGGATTGCCAGTGTTATGTAAACTGCCTATATCTCAGCTTTGAGAAGACATAGATTAGTGATGTGAACATGTAATGAAAACTCATTTACTAATCTTCTCAACAGTATAAGCTATCTTGGCTCCCATTGTAGCAGAGAATTACGTAAAGATAAGAACAAATTGATAATAGCTTATCTTAGTTAATGTTATACATTGCTAATAGAAAAGGTGTTTATGAATAATTTCTGCCACAGTTACAATCAGAATTTTTTTTAAGCTTTTGAATGGCTTGCTTTTTAATTTTATATTTCATTTCAAGTATAATATTGTAATATGATATGAAGTGTTTTTCATGGTACAAGATGAGGTAGTCTTAATTAGATCATTTTGCACTTGATCATATTAAGTGTGGTTTCACTGGCAAGAACATTGTTTGTTCAGCTGTGTTTACATAAAGCATTATTGGCATAAGTAACTGCTTGAATGGACTAGGAAAATAATTGGAAAAAATTTATATATATATATAGAGAGAGAGAGATATGGATATAAAATATGTTTTATATAAAAGTTATTTCATATATTAAATGAAACTTTAGAATTAATAGAAGTAGTAGTAGTTCAGTTTGCTTATAATTTTGGTTTGGCAAAAGAGCTATTTTTACTGCACAGCAACGATTGTAAACACAGTGAAACTGCATGCTGTGTTTTCATGTCAAATCAAAGATGAAATTCAGTTTTAATGACCAAAAGTTAGTGAAAAGTTTTACAAGACATAAAGAATATGTAATTAAAAGCTAAAAAAGGTAAGTATTTTAGTAGTTTATTAAAGAAATCATATCACAGTGAAATTTATTTTATTTTAGAGAAGCTACATTATCTGTAGGAAGTTAATCTCAAACTTCAAATAGTTTCATTCCAAAAATTTTCATTGCAATGCAGTTGAAGTAACCATTCAACATGATGTACATCTACATAACTGGCATCATATTATTGAAGGTACAGAGTGCCAAAGTAGAGAATTTTCATAGCTCTTGAGTCACATGACAGTACATCGGAAGTTTTAAGTAGTTTGTTTAAAATAAAGGACTTAAAACTTAGGTAACATAAAACTTCGAAGCATAACATACATTGATAGTAAAGTTGTTTAATTAAATTTTGAAGATACACAGTGTTTTGCACAGAAAATTGTTTAAAGGGGTACCCATGTCAAGAGAATTAATGAAAAATATGAATTATCAGATTATAACATAAATTATATTAAGAGATCTTTCTAATAGTGTGTGTAAGTAATTATTTTGCACAACTATCCAGGAAGAAATCATCTAATATTATTAATTTTAGAAAGTTTGTATGAATATAATGTTTCTTGTAATAAGCTCAATAGTATTCCAGCTGTAAAATAGTATTTTATTATTATCATTTAACCTACAGTAAAGAATAGTGTTTTATTTGTTTTCAGGCTTCCAAGTTTTTAATGTTACTCTAATTAACATTATGTAAAAGAAATTAAAAATTCTTTATGATGTTATTTAATATAAAAAGTATGTTTTACATGATTAGTACAAACTGTAAAAAATGACTGTAAAGTTTAATAACAATTAAACTTTTCTAAAATATATTGCTTGTTGACGTTTTTTAATTAGAAAGAAATATGTGTGACATATAATGTGAATTTGAAAAGGTTACTTTGTTTAAATGTACAAAAATAAGTTGTTTGATTTATTTAATTTTATTTTACAGTATCCACAGTGAAAGAATGGAGAAAGAACAGTTTAAAACTGCAGCTTTGGAACAACAAACTCCTCAACATTTCCCCCACAATCAGAGTCTATTTTCCTCATCTTCGTCCAGGTCTCATGGGGGAAAGGCTCACACACGGTTAGATATGTGTACTTTATATATTACTCTTAATGACCCTCAATATTATAGTACAATTGAGTCAAATATCTCATCAGTCATGAATAAATTGGGAAGCCTGCAAAATAAAATATTTGTTTTCTAACTGAACATCTTTTTTAGACATAAAACATCCAGAAAGAAGTTGATAAAACACAAAAGAAACAAATTGATTGGGTCCATTTCCAAATCAGTGTAATCAACAACGTATAAATTTTATTCTCTTTTTCTGAATTTTGTACCTTCTACATTTTGGGAGTGGAAGTCGTTGTATTTTGATTGTCACTTTTTCTATAGCTGTATTGTACTCGTACAGTATGTAAAGGTTGCAAGTCCTTACAGTGAAGTATATGTATAATATCTTTTACCACTTTCCCTAGATATGTTGTTTATTTATGCCATATTAGTATATCTTATTAGCTAAGGTGAGAAGTTTTGGTCATGTGAAACTCTAAAATTACTTGATAGAAAATTTCCATTGAGTCAACAACTTTAGAGTATACTGTAGTTATGATTATTAATATTCTCAATACATTAAACCTGAATATAGAAGTAAGCTTAAAAATGATTAACGCTCTTGCTATGGGCTCAATTGAATCGACTGAGTTTATGACCTCGTATTGATCTTTATAGTTTCCATACAATAACTTCTAATATGTTTTTAGTATCTTCACAAAATTTTGTAAGCTTTCAGTAATCATTAAGAGTCATTTGCAGATAAAAAATCTGAATTTTTAATGAAGTATTTTTATTAAAAATTCCTCCATAAATATATAGAGTCAAAGTGTGGATTGCTTTAAGTACAAAGTGATGTCCATGTGAAAATTGAAAATACTTTTCTTCATCTGAAAAATTTCAAATTTCATTTGCATTATTTCCAAAAATTTATTGTACATTTTTCATATACCATGATAGTAAAGTAATTTTAACCCTATTGCCATGGGCATCATCTTCTACACATGTCACAAGGTTTTAGTGAGTTACATCATAACTTAATTAAACTACTTTGTTATCATGGTATATAAATAAATATGGCATAAAAATGTAGCTAAAAAAACCAAGTTTTAATAGTATATAAGTTTTACATTCTTAATTTTATAAGGCAATATTTAAAAAAAATTGAATTGTGACATTTTCTTTGTAGTCATACTCTCTTCTCTAGTTTATTTATCACCTCTCCAAGATGTATGAAATTTTATGCAAGTTACTCAGTATAATCTTGCTGTCACTCAGGCAAAGCTTAATACTTATAGCTGTCAATCTTATTTGATTAGAGAGCCATCAAATAGAAAATCAGACCCCTCTTGCCATGCTCACCAGTCACATCCTCTCTTTCAGAATTTGCCAGTAGTTCTCTCTTACATTTAAAACTATTATTTATAACCAATAGGAAGCTAAGGTTTTATTCTATCAAATGACATATCATATTACATTGTTTTCTGTGCAGAGAATTCTCAATTTTGCTTTCAGTTCAAACTTTATTCCTATGGAAAACACGTCAATAAGCTTAGCTGAATTTTTAACAGCTCTTGTTGCATAGTTAGGAAGCCAGAAAAATTGTGATAGTGATGGGACATTGTCTTCTTTTTACATGTTATTATTCTGTTTTCTTTGGTGCATTATTTAATTAAATAAAATAATTCTTTAGTGCAGTAGTACCATCAGGATAAAAAAAGTAGGGTTAAGTGTCATCCACAATCGAAGGCATTAAAAAAAAAATCCAGGTAAGTACTATAGTTCTTGTTTTTCATGTGTATTCTTTATTTATTATTAAAAAAGTAAGTAAAATGTAAAAATTGGAAATTGTTTTGATTAAACTAGGTTAGATTAGGTACAATAAAGAATAGTAATAATAATTTTTCACAAGGTACAATCATGAGTTGTCCATGCATTATGTAATTTGATATTGCAACATGCTATATGTTTGCCATTTAGGATAAACAAATCTAGCTTCATGTTACAATTTTAAGTCATTCCAGAAAGGAAGAAAAAAAGGTAATTCAGTTGTTTTTTTTTGTTGTTGTTTAGTCAGTCAAATTGACCAACCTTGTATAGAGTTAAGGTAGAGAAAATAACAGATAAAATATAGATTTACTGGGAAAAATACTTGAAATTTATTTGGAAGGTTTTAGAAATAATGCAGATAGATGAAAAAAGTATTTTTAATGTTAACACAAAAATAAATTTGCAGTGGGACTATTAAAAAAAAAAACTCAATATGTTCATGGACAAATCTTTATTAAAAAATTTGATTTTCTGTGTATAAAAGACAATATTTACTGAAAGCTGCCAAATCTTGCAAAGATACAAATATTATATTAAAAGTTATAGTATGGAAACTATGATGAGTACAAAATGGTTATGAAGTCTGTCAATTCGACCGACCCCATGGTGAGACTTTACATACTTAGATCATAACTTTCAATATTTTTTCAAGTGACTTTTGATAAGCTAACCTGTACAGTTAGAAATAAGTTAATGGGATATGAAAAAGAAAGAATTGTGTAAACTGTTTGCATATCTTTGATCTGTAGGACTTTATCAGAATCACGATCTGGATCCAAAAGTCCTTCTGTTAAGAAAGGTGGAAGGCGTCATTATCAGAGGTAGTACAATTTTTAAAAAACATTTCTGTGTGTGTCGTGTGTTTGTTTTTCCTTCCATAATGTTTAAGGAATAACATATGGATGGTTATGTTGAATTGTTAAGAACAGATAGTTAGTGAAACACTTGTTTTGTTGTTGTTTTTTCTTGTCATATACTGACATTTTGTGTGCTTTAAAGGGATAGATATAAAAATGTAAGTCTTAAATGTAAGATAGTTGACCCCTAAGAAGTATACTAAGATGTAATTGTCATGACATTTGAGCATTTGAAATGTAAATGTTTAAATGTTTTGATCTAATTAATAGTTCACTGCATCAAAAGTTGTATTACTGTTCTAATATATGTTGTAATTGGAACAGTTACTGGATAATTCTAATCGATGACTGACAAAAAAATTATTGATTGATAAACAGCTTTATCTGTAGTACTTAGAAGTTATTGTAATAAAATCAAAGAATTATATCTACAGCATAAGATTTCTTGTCAAAATTAATGAAAGTATTTCATATTATTTATAAACAGCATTTTTCTTAAGAGAACTTGGTAATGTCCTTGAAATGGCTATTTTGTGTTCCTCTGTTGTTGCCTTAAAAAAACGAAACAGATATGTCTCTAAAATTCCATCTAGAAAGAGCTTTTTATTCTATCCAGGTCTTCCGAGTCAGATTCTGACAGTAATGATGAATGCAGAGGTAAAAAACGTAGTTTAAATTCCACAGTGGTAGGACCAACTCATAAACATGGGAGAGGTGAGGGTGCTTCAAGAGGCCATGGAAGGGGTGGGACTCATCAAGGAAACAAAAAAGGACCTGGAAAAAAGGGCAAAAAGCAGAAAAACAAAAGGTTTTGTGTTTCAAAATTATGTTTATGAGACAATGAGTAGTAGTGGTTGTAGATTGCATACTCCAACTTTGGCCCTGTTCTATTAATTTTTTGTTTATACTAAGAAAAACACCTGAGAAGTCAAGTACTCTTGCAAAAAGATTCATTAACCTTCTTGCTGAGGGTAGGTCAAAGTGCACATGTCATAACCTTTTACAGTTACTTTCAAAATTTAATTAAACTACTTCATTATCAATGTATATGAAAAACATGGCATCAAAACATAGTTAATAAATCAAATTTTAATATTATATAAGATTGAATTTCTTAATTTTAAAAGGAAATATTTAAACAAATTCTCAAACTCCCCTTGTATATGTTTCGTGACATTTTTCGCTCCGACCTGCCCGTCCTGTAGTTTTTCTTTACTTCTGTCTGTTGTGCTGGGTTTAGCATAAATTACTTATTACAGTACAGATATTACTAAGATATAGTTTAATGTTTTTAGCCTTCAGTCTTTTTTGTTTACAGAGACATAAATAGAATATTAGACTTGTGTCTTTCACAAATTGCCAATAATTCTAACATTTGCTGTTACACCATTTATAGCCAATAGAAAGAACAAGTTTTAATTTACCAAATGACATAATGGTGCCCTGTTCTCAGTTGAGATTTTTAGTTATTTCACCTACAGATTGAAAGTTACTATCACCAAGTTCAACTCAAATACCTAAAGAAATTGTGTTAAGGCACTTATAGTTCAGTTAGAAAAATAGTTAAATTGTAACAGTTATAGGACATTGTTTGCTTTTAGTTTTGTTATGCACATTCTTGAAATAAATAGAAATTATTTAATTTGTTAGTATCATCAGTTTAGTACAGGAGAAGAATATTGTTTTGTATTATATCTCACTTTATACAACAATGGAAAATGTATCACTCACTATTCTCACCATATGTTAGCTTATCTATAACAATCATAAGTTTTTCAAATAGTTCTTTTATTTTAGTACTACAGAATTTTAATGCAACGGTGTAAAATGTCTAAGCTGGTGAAACAATATCTTTCAGGGTATGCTTTATTTGTTTCAGAAATTCGCGCAAGACAAATATCTAATAACTTATGAGTAAAAAAAGAAAGTAGGCTTAAGTTTAATTTTTCATTCATTTTTATAAAAGTAACTGAAATGTAAAAATTACATAATTATTAGTTTAGATTAAGCATGATAATGAAAAATGATACATTACGATAATTTGTGTGTTTCTTCATTCAGTAGGGTAACTTGATCTACGCATTTGCCAAGTGATTTACAACTTGTATTGTAGGATTATTAGTTATGTATGATTTTTTAAAAATTAAGTCAAAAGGAACGTAGACTGTTATGAGCCTTAAACTATTTAGGTTAAACAATTGCAGTTTTCCATTACAATGTGCAGTCATTTTAGAATGAAAAAAAGGGTAACTTAGATTTATTTTGTATTTTTTTATGATGGTTACAAGGTTGGTCAAACCAAAATTGTTTATAGAGTTAGAGTAGAGAAAATAACAGATAAAGTTTAAAGTTTTACTGAAAAACAGATGTTTGATATTCATTTAGCAGGTTTTAGAAGTTATGAACATGAACTTTTTAAAGTGTAAAATGAATAAAAGTATTTTTTAACCTTAATATAGATACTTTCATGGTTACATGGTGGTTTATAAGGTCAGTCAGAATGATTGAGCCCATATGGAAAGAATGAATGGAAGTACAGAACATAGTATTCTATTTGATGCAGTTTAATGACTTTTTGTCTGTGTTATGAGTAATATGGGAAAACAACACAAATTGGAAATGGAAATATATGACTAAACACTAGGAAAAGGGGCTCTAGATTTTTCCTTAACGTAGTGTTATTTGTTAAGTTAACTTAAGGTTAAAAAGACAGATGATCTGTAGATGTAAATTTTTTACATCTGCTGCAATTAGAATGTCAATTTATATTTTCATAGAGTGATGAGAAAATGTTAATACATCTCGTCTCCTTGTTTGTTGTTGGAAGAATAAAATTATATATGTTATATTATGCAGGAATTACAAGGTTCATATATCTTTTAGTTACTTCAAAATATTTCATTCATTATTTGGAAAATGTGTGTTTGATATGGCTGTATATGAGTGTCATAGTCGGGCAAATACACATTTTCTGTTTGGAGACAGCAAAATTGCTGTTGGTATATTTTATTCACAGAATTTTCAAGCTTATTTCTGATGCAAAAAAACACCTGAAATACATTGAGAAATTGCATTTTTGATTATATTACTGCTGTTATGGTCAAGTATTGGTCTAATTAACAGATGATCATATAGGCTACTAACCACAACATTTATGTATTTTCAATTAATATAAGACAGAATAGCTTAACTGTCTTTGAATCTAGTAACTGGTATGGTATCATTTTTCAGGTAGAGAAATAACGGAATTAATGGTAATTAGTTGTTCAAGCTAGTTTTGAAACAAAGAATCATTGAGTTTGTGTGTATTTACACACCTGCAAAACAGGTTGTTCAAATCCTACCTTGGGTAGACAGAAGAATTACTAGTAACCATTTTTCATTTACTTAAAAATAAGTAATTTAAAGGAAGTTACAGTTACCAAAAATTGCTCTGTGAAAATGTTTCATTGGCACAAAGTCTTTGTTGTGCACTTATACTCAATTTGGTATAATAATTGGTAGTGATACAGCAGAGCTTGTACTATAATGAAACTACCAAATGGAGGTATGGCTTCTGAGATGTATATATATGTGTGTGTGTGTGTGTGAAGAAGTTATAAAATATTTCATATCAATCATCAAATATGCTGACCCGAGCTATAGATCTACTATTTCTCTGGATTTAGCAAGTTTTTTTTTATGGTTTATTACAGTCCATTAAGAAATTTATAACAGAATTCATATCCACTACGATCTTGCTGTGTTCTGTGATATAGTTGAATAATTTTGTATAATAGATGAAACATAGCTTACACAATAAAATAATAGTTTGATTGACAACACAGGAACATTTAAAAAAGCCTGTTATAAAGGATGTTGCTTATTCTTTGTAAATTGTATAAAAGTAATTGACTGAACTACAAATTGGTATGAAACTTTTGTAAGAAATACAAGCCAGTGAAAAAATATTTGTTATAATAATCAAACTCTTCATACATACATACATGTATTTATAGTAATGAAGAAGAAGATTTGCTAAAGTATTGACTAATAATAACAATATGAATTAATTTTGATTTAAGATGTGAAAACTAGATGTTACTATCACTTAAATGTGAAAACATAAAACACCCGAGAATGTGAATAAAACATTTTATCTTCTAGAGGATAAATGCTGTTTTATTTACAAAATGTCTAAGATATTCCAGTCTGTGCTTTGTACACTTAAAAGAGAGAATAATAGTTTTCTACTTGTTGATTGAATCATGTTTTTGCATGTACTTTCTCTACTTGATATAAATTAAATTTTCTTTAATGTGATAAGATGTCATTCATCTTGCTAATATTAAAGAAGACAACTGTTACTACTGTTTCTTTATAATTTTTATATTTTCATGATTGAAGTGTTTTAAACTGAAAATTATGAATAACTCTGAATTTAAATGGAGGGAAAAACAGTTTGTTGATATTGAGAGTGAGATTAGAGTTTACACCATCTTGTTTTGTTTTTAAATGAAAATAGTTTGTGAAATTAATGTATTGTGTTAATTTCTATAAAAAAGTTTCAATTTTAAAGAAACTAGAAATTGTACTTTTTTATTTCACTTTTTCAAAAATGTTTAAGTGAACAGTCAAGACCATCAGTAATTAATTTTTAAGATAATTTTAGTCTAATACAAAAATCAGAATGAATTATTTGAAATTACAGTAAAGGTTGAAATTTCCCCATTTTAATTTTTATGGAACTTAATATTTCAAATAATGTTTAAATAAAATTAATTATAAAGATAATTTAGTGTGAACAAGTGGGAAATTTGAAATTATGGATATATTGTGCACAGTCACAGAAAAATAATGTTTATTTTATTTAGTGAGAGAAAACCCAAAACGTTTTTTTTTCTCCCTGTAGTAACAACCAATTTACAGTGGAAGCAGACCTTGCTACTTCAGAACGTCTAGAACAACGTGCAGCTAGGTTTCAAACCAGTAAAAAAGGAAAAAGCTCAAATATTGTACTCACTGTTAAAAATCCTATGGTAAGCAGTACTCCAAAACTTTTTTATAACTTTGTACATGTTTCTTGTTTGCTTTATTCCATAAATTTATTAAATAATCTGGTTTCAACACCAGAAAAACTTGAGTAAATTATTATTACTTATCAACTCTCCTTTTTGGTATTTTGTAAAACAGCTGTATAGAAAACTGTTCATTTTTTAAAAAACTGTGTGTGTGTACTGATTTTATGGTCAAGTTTAATTCAGATTCTCTCTCTCTCTCTACTAACT